AGAATGAGGACAAAAAAAAATTTTTTTTAAAAAAAGGTAATAAAAAAGAAATGAAAGTAAATTAGTGACGGGAGAAGCAGAAGTAAGTCTGAGAACCCTCAGGTTTAAAATGAAGAAGAGGGGAAGAAAGGAAGGACAGTCCAGGTAGAGCAGAAAGTGTGAGTAAAGGGTACTGGGGTAAGACCGCTTAGTGGGCAAGAGACAAACCGCCAAAGTTTAGAAAAACAATATAAACAAGTCTTAGAGTTAAGCTAGTATCCAAATCACGTAGAGCCTTGAATGCCAAGCTAAGAGGACTCAGTGAGGCCTTCCCCACAAAGTGATAAAGGGTCTTGAACTTGGTCGGGGCAGTAATCTTGGAAGACATCATTTCCATTCCTGCAAAAGACAACACCAGGGGCTCAGCGTGATTTACTAGAAATGTCTCAGAGTCCAAAGCCCACATTCCCAGATTTTAGAATACAGGAAATCAAGACTGGAAAGGTAAACTGGGATCAGGTACTGGAGGGCCTGCGTGCCCAGATAAAAACGGAATTTTATTTCTTAGTCAATGGGGCTCCGCCGAATGATCCCGAGCCCAAGGGCCACAGCAACTCACTGGCATTTAGAAAGATCACTCAGGCAGCCAGTTATGAGACAGTTCCAATAGGCAAGTGCAAGGGAAGGATGGCCGTGAGCGGAAAGGCCTGGAGGACACAAAAGAGGCCTGCCAAGGGGAGTCTGATTCGCGCGCAAACACAACTTTCTGTTGTCCCCACGCCTGACGCCGCACGATCTCGAGTTCACCGGCACCTGCAGCAGCGCTAACTTGCACGTTCCGGACCACGGGGACGAAGCCGCCGCGACCCCGCGGTCCTGCCCACTCGCCCGGCCCTGGCCCTGCGGTCCAGGCTGGACACGGGAAGCCCGGGGGCCGGTCCCCGCGGCCGGCCCGTCACGGAGACGGCGGGTGCAGAGTCATCGTGCCCACGGCTCCCCGGCGGCGCCCGCAGGCCGGGACCGGCTGCCTGGACGTTTACGGACCCCCGCCCCGGGGAGAGCGGCCAAGCTTCCGCGGGCCCTTAGGAGGCAAAGGCTCACCGGAGGGAAGACCGACAGTCGAAATACACACCGAGCCCCTTCCTCCGCGGGAGAAAAGCCACCAGCAAAGCCAGAATAAACCCTGCCAATATGGCCGCCGCGCGTGCGCACAGCGCGGGGGCGGGGCGGCCGAGGACGCGGAAGTCCTCCTGGGGGCGGGGCGGGGCGGGGGCTGGCTGCCCTCGTGGGAGCTGCGGAGCTGGGGGGCGGCGCCTCCTGCTGGGGTTCTCAGCCGGCGGAGGGTGGAATACCGCGGGGGGGAGGGCAGGAAGACCCTAGGCAAGCAGAAGGTGGAATTACTGCAGCTCACTTCCTTCTACGCTTTGCGCTTTCACTTTCGCTTTCTCTTCACTGCCGTTCAGTCACGTAGACCTAGGAGAGCGGCAGTGTGCACAGGCCTGCTAATTGCTTATCGTTCTGCCCTGTTCCCCCAAATGGCCCCACCAGCACCGGACTCTACCTTCACCCTGCCTCCTCTCACCATCGCCCTTCTAGAACCTGGCTTCCCTATTTACTGCGATGCATGCATTTTGGGACATGTAAATTATGATAGGGTTCCCATTTTGGGGAGAATTTTCTCTTTGGTCTCCTCTGCTTTTCTCCATGTCAGAAAGGATTTCCCCAACCTAGTTAAAGCAATACCCTACCACCACCACCACACTCGCAGCATGTTATCTTCTCTGCTGAAATTGCCGTGCTTGTTTGTGTTCGTCATCCATCTCTCCACTCGTTTTCTCATCCAGCTTTAATCCCTATGTATACTATCTACTATTCATGTTTAGGTTTTTTTCAAGCTAGAAAGTTGACTAGGTCTGGGTTAATATGTAGTCATTTGCTCACGGTCTCTCCCAGGAAGCAGCCCGTTGGGCAGGGACTTTTGTCGTCTTCATGTTGGGTGCAAAATTATTGGGGGATATGAGCTTTGAAGAGATAGCTCGGAAATGAGTTGCATTTTGAGGTCTCTCCCGTCATCTCTGCTTTCCAAGCACACAGGGAGGTGAGCCAAGGCAAGGTGGCAAAGGGCCATGCTCAGATAGGTGGTGCTTTGAAAGCATCCTCGGGTGTTGCACTTACGGCATCTCTGAGGGCACCTGCCTGCCATCTTAGTTCATTCTGCAGAATTCAGCAATCATGAAGTTTTAAGTGAGAGGTAGGATTTCTTAGGTCAAAAGAGGAGGGATCAGTTGAGATAAAAGACTAGAAGAATGAGTTTGACAAGTTTGGGTAACAGTTCAGTCTGGCTGGAATGGAGGAGATAGTGTAGGAAGTAAAAGAGGAAAGGCATTTGAGGCCAAACTGTAGAGTGCCTTCAATGCCAGATTTTTTTCTGATCAGTAATAAGAGGATCAAAGTGATGTTTTAGGATGATGAGCCCTCAAGATATCCCAACCAATAAGTTCCTTTTACAATGTGCCACTGATGCTTCCCATTGAAAGGTTCTATGTCCCTTTGCCCTGAATCTGGGTGAGCCTGTGACTATGGTGCAAGTGGTATCATGTGACTTCCCAGAGTAGGTAGTAAAAGGGGCTATAGTTCTGTCTTGTTCTCTCGGGATGGTTGTTCTCGGAGCCCAGGCACTATGCTTTGAGGAAGCAAAGACCACATGGAGAGGTGTTTGGCCAACAGCCTAGATGAGGTCCCAGTGTCACCTGTCAGATAGGTAAGTGAAGATTCCTCCTGGTGATTCTAGTCCCTGGTGATTGAGTCTCTCGCAGGCACCAAATCCCCCCCTGCCTTCAAGTCTTCCTAGCATTGTGGAGCAGAGACAAGCTGTCCCAGGACCTATCTGAATTCATGACCCACAGAAACCATAAATGATTGTTTTAAGTTTTAAGGCACTAATTTTTTGGTTAAATTATCACACAGCAATGTATGTAACCAGAATTTTTATCTGCCTCTAATATGAAGTATGTAGGTTAGGGAAACTAAGAAGCCCAGAAAGTAAAGTTCTGTTGTAGTCCAGAGAGGATAAAAGTCTGGACAGAAAAAGACACTTGCAAGAGCAAAGAGTCTTTGCCAAACATATGGTATTGATTTCTAAATCTAGAAATGGGTTTTCTCCTCATTGGTTGAAAGGCCCAGGACCTGGCACTTGTAGAAGTGTGTTCATTCTTGTAGTTTATGCAACAGATCTTTCTCGGGTCTGCTAGGGGCTTGGCATGGTGCTAGGTCCTGAAGGTTATATGAAATAAATATTATTCAGTTTATGCACTGTATTAAGTCAGGGTTCTCCAGAGGAAAGGAACCAATAGGATGGATGGATCGATAGATAGAAGGGGATTTATTATGGAAATAAATTATGGAAGCCAAGAGTCCCATAATGTGCTGTCTGCAAGCTGGAGAACTAGGGGAGCTGATGGTGTGAGTCCTGGAGTCCAAAGGCTGAGAACCTGGAGTTCTGATGTCTGATGGCAAGAGAAGACGGATGCCCCAGCTCCAGAAGAGAGACTGAAATCATCTTTCCTCTGCCTTTTTGTCTACCTGGGCCCTCAGTGGACCACCCACATTGGTGAGGGGGGATCTTCCTTAGTCTGTGATTCAATGCCAATCTCTTCTGGAAATATCCTAACAGACATACTCAGAAATAATGCTTTACCAGCTATCTGGGTATCCTTTAACCCAATCATAGATATCCCCTAACCCAGTCAAGCTGACACCTAAAATTAACTGTCACAACCACCCAAGAGTTTATAAAATACATGGAATTGACTAATTAGAGATAAACTAGAACAAACACCAAATAGTAAAATATCAATGCAGTGCAGCATGTATTTAAATATTGAAATAGTGGTAAGCAATATTTGCATTAGGAATTGAGTGGAAGGGAATCCACGTTAGCAGAAGTAATCAAGAGAGAAATCTGTAGGGTTTCATCATAGAAGAGGATGAACACTGGGCTGGGAGTGAAACCCAAGTTTCAGTCCACTTTTCTGGTCCCCAGTTTCCTGAATGATCAAGCTAGATAAAAACCAGCTTTTTAAATTTGAGAAGCATAAGTGCTTCCATGTGAATGATCTCATTTGTTCCCCCTAACATGTGTGTGTGTGTGTGTGTGTAGGGGGATGGGGAGGAGGGGAGAGGGAGAGGAAGTAGTGTGGGACCCTGCAGTGGTTAACAGCATCGTCTGTATCAGAAAGACCTGATTTAAGCAGTGGCTCTCTTTAATCAAATTAGTTCAATTTTTTAAGCCTCAATTTCCTTATCTGAAAATGGGATTAATCATAATAGTACTTCCCTCATGGGTTTGTTGTGAAGACTAAATGAGATAATGTGTGTAAAATACTTAGTGCTCAATAAATGTTGGCTTTTATTATATATTGCTAAAAACTTTAAAAGGCAGGAAAGACAGAGATTCTTAAAATTCTATGATTATAAAAACCAGTAGGGCTCAGTGATTGAATATGAAAGAAATAAGCAAAAAATTACTCTAATATTTTGAGTTTGGTTAACCTGGAATATGTTTGATTTGTTTAATAAATATTTATTGGATCCCAACCATGTGCCAAGCGTTGTGCTATGTACTGGCATTATTCTCTTGTGAAATCCTCACAACTAACTCTATGAGATCGGTACTACCATGACCCCAATTTTACAGATAAGGAAATTGAGACAGAGAAGTTAAAAATGAATGATATAAGAAAATTCAGAGAAACACTTATTTTGGCAAGTGTAAATAGGTGGGCAGGCAGATAGGTATAGAACTGATGCCTATTCATATATTTAGAAAGAGACATATAGATATAGAATCAATGCGTGTTCATATATAGAAAGAGATAACTATTGAAAAGGTGTTTGAATGGCCAGGGTTCTAGACTTGAGTCGTTTGTAGAAAATGAATAGTTAAAACTATAAGAATAAGCAAATAGCCATTTACTAAGTCATACTAAGGGAGACATAAAGAGAAATCGGTGAAGGAAATGCAGTGGTATAATTTAAGCCAAGTATATAGTGAGCTCCAGTTTATGGTCATACAAAAAGAAACATAAATTATAGAGAATTTAAAAATATCTGCTTAGGGACATTCCCGGTATTAGTCTGAAAACTAACCATTATATTTAGGTGGCTCAGGGGTTAGTGGCCTTGCCTGGATGTCTTTATCTGCTTCCTTGCAGTTCGCATCTTCCAGCATCTATCTCTGCAGTTCCAGTTTCATCTACCCTTTCAAACAAGCTAAAAAATGTTCTCGAAGAATACCTTCTGTGTTTTACCCTAAGGCATCTTAGTGTGCGCCTTCCCCAGCCTTTCTTCTAACATACATTCATTCTGCAAGTATTTGTAAAGAGTTCTCTGTGGGAAAGGCACTGTAGCAGGTGTGAGAAGAAGGGATGAGACAAAAATAAGCTTTACATGGTCTCCGCCCTCAAATAGCCCTCAGGCTAGATGACTGCACAACCATGATCCATTATGCAAAGTGATATGCCATGAAAAAGACACAGTACAATGGGATTCTAGAGAAAGAAGAGATCAGAGAAGGTTTCATAGAACTGGTGATACGTTAGCTAGGTCTGTATGTTATGTCCAGTTACTTAAAATATGTGAATATATTTATACATATATATTCCTTTCAAAGTTTAAAAAAGTCATTGATTCCAGGGTGAACAGACCTAGAGATTATCTGATTCAAAATATCATTATATGTGTTTTATATACAAGGCAAGCAAGACCCACAGAAAGACATGCTTGCTTATGCAGTACTTTCTTAAGTTTAAAAACCGGTCATGAGATTGCTTGAAGACCTTAGAAGTTTCATGTGCTTTGTCATACTCAGAATTGATCTGTTCCATTAGTTCATTTTTAACTATGCGGGAAAGTCCTTTGATGTGGTTCTTTTGGGTTTTTAATTACTCAAGTTAATGTGAACTTTTGTCTAGTCACATGGAGATCCCACATTCACAGGACTTTGCAGTTTCAAACCAGATTTCCTCTACGGCTTTCTGGCCCATGTCAAACATTTGCTGTAAGTGCTTCCACCCAGTTTTTGCAGTAATCATGAGATAGTCTTTGTTCTCTGGGTATAGCTGGCAATAGTGTGCATCAATGACAAGTGACTGACAAAAACGACTGCATACAAGTAGAAACAAAGCACCCCTCTCTACAGCTGTCAGTGGGATTATACTCTCAAACCCTGCAAGGACATGGCCTCCTACTTGTATGGGATTCTTGCTTTCAATCATCATGTACATGATGGCGATTGCCACTTCAAATACATAGTAGCCATAGCTCATGTCATCAAAGTCTAAAATCCCAGACACTTGATATTCAGCATCTCCACAGGCTGACTTGCTGGACTCTATTAAAATGTTATGGTCGTTAAGATCTCCATGATTGATACCTGAAAGTAGAAAAATCATGTAAAAAGTTATTTAATATCCCAATTCATTGTCTTTCCATTCTCTTTCTTAGGCAAGGCCATTCAAATAATTTGATGAGCAGTCAGAGATAAAGGGCCAAACCATATTTTTCCTGAAATAAAATAATTTCCTCTGAAAAGGATAAAAGGAGTTAATTTTGGGTTTCTGTTTTTGCTTTTGCTTCTCATCAATACAAGGCCAGAAGATGGAGATTGCAGTCCCTGCAAATAGCTGATTTTGGCTATTGGAAGAGTAAAGTGAAAAGGAGTACTGCTCAAAACCAGAAATGTTTCAAAAGAATATAAACATAATCATATTATTATAAGAGGCAAGGGGTTCTAGAATGGACCAGATGTACCTTTATTTTCACCTAGGCTTTCCAAAAAATTTTTCTGGGCCGGGTGCGGTGGCTCATGCCTGTAATCCTAGCACTCTGGGAGGCCGAGGCAGGAGGATTGTTTGAACTCAGGAGTCTGAGACCAGCCTGAGCAAGAGCGAGACCCCGTCTCTACTAAAAATAGAAAATAAGTTAATCGGCCAACTAAAAATATATAGAAAAAATTAGCCGGGCATGGTGGCGCATGCCTGTAGTCCCAGCTACTCGGGAGGCTGAGGCAGAAGGATTGCTTGAGCCCAGGAGTGTGAGGTTGCTGTGAGCAAGGCTGACGCCACGGCACTCACTCTAGCCCAGGCAAAAGAGTGAGACTCTGTCTCAAAAAAAAAAAAAAAAATTTTCTGATGACAAGGTAATTCTGAATTTCCCCCATTTTTTGATTAATAGAATAGTGGTGATATTTTAAGTCAATACTACTCAAAGTGGGGTCTGTGGCCAGTGTTGGTCTACAAATGTTACAAGTCTGCATGAGTTAAGAACAGAAATTGAGAGTGTTTAGAAGATTTTATAGCAATTTGACATCCAAAAGTGTGATCAGTGGCTTTGTTGCATTGAACAGAGAGTAGACCAGTTTGAGTTTTGTCAAACTTGCATGGTTAGTGACATGTGGCATGAGCTATGAATTAATCATGTACAGTAGGGCCATATGCTAGGCTATGATGGGTTGTGGGTGGGCGGGGAAAAACCCCAAACTTATCTTTTACAACGGATAGTTTGAGAAGCACTGATTTAAGCCACTAAAGATGGGCACGAGATGGGCACGAGATGGGCATGTCCATGAGCAGTAAAGGTCACATACTTTCTAATAAGTACATAATTTTAACTTCTAAATATAATAGAAATATCTTCTGTATGAGTAGGATTACACAAATCATGCTTAAGTAATGTAGCTCATTGAGTGGCACATATAAGCAATGAACATTACATCACAGATTTTAAACTATACATTCTGAAATTGGGATATATCATACAATTGACTCAAAATATTTAAAGCAAAAATTGATAGAAATACAAGCAAAAAATAGACAATCTGCAATCATAGTGGGAGATTTAAAATACACTTTACTTAGTAATTGTTACAACAAACAGACAAAAAAATTAGAGAAAGATATAGAAAATTTAAAGAGGATTAACAAACTTTCCCTAATGGGCATACGTGTAACTCCTTACTCAACAACTTAATACACTTTCTTTTTGAGCACACATAGACCATTTATTAACATTTATCAAATACGGCATCATAAGGTAAATTCAAAAGACTGGAATCACACAAAGCTATTCTGTCTAGTATGGTAGCCACTAGCTATACATGGCCATTTGAATTCATTAAGATTAAATAAAATTGGCCGGGCGCGGTGGCTCACACCTGTAATCCTAGCTCTCTGGGAGGCCGAGGCGGGCGGATTGTTTGAGCTCAGGAGTTCAAAACCAGCCTGAGCAAGAGACCCCGTCTCTACTAAAAATAGAAAGAAATTAATTGGACAACTAAAAATATATAGAAAAAAATTAGCCGGGCATGGTGGCCGCATGCCTGTAGTCCCAGCTACACGGTAGGCTGAGGCAGGAGGATCGCTTGAGCCCAGGAGTTTGAGGTTGCTGTGAGCTAGGCTGACGCCACGGCACTCACTCTAGCCTGGGCAACACAGTGAGACTCTGTCTCAAAAAAAAAAAAAAAAGATTAAATAAAATTGAAAATCCCATTCCTCAGTTGCACTAGCCACATTTCAAGCACTCACTAGCCACACAGTGGCAACTATACTGGACAACACTGATACAGAACGTTTCCTTCATTAAAGAAAATCCTGAATCAAGTATGTTCTCTGACCACGGTGTAATTACAGTAGAAATCAATAATAAAAAGATAACTAAAAAGTTCATCCTATTTTGGGGAAAAGGATTTATACTTCTAAATACCCATGGGTGAAAAGAAGAAATCTTAACGTAAATTACAAAATATTCTGAACTAAATGAAAATGAAAAACTATGTACTTGTGGTGTCCAACTTATATTAAAGATGTTGACAGCCATATTCTCACATAAAGTACTTCAAATGATAGGCAATTAAGATTAAGAATCTCAGAGGACATTCAAGGTAAACTGTTGAAAAGAAGCCTTAGCAATGATGCCAGAGCAACTGATCTTAAAACAGTATAAAAATAATGAAAGAAGCAATAATGAAAGACAGAATGAGGAGGAGAAATCTAATATTTTCTTTCTATTGGAACAGAAAATGGGCCTAACAAAAATTCACTTCTACATTTTGTACTTTAAGAACAACAGGATTGACTGCTAATGGGTATAGAGTTTCTTTTTGAGGAGATGAAATGTTCTAACATTAGATTATGGTGATGATTGTACAACCCTGTGAATATACTACAAAACATTGAATTGTATACTTTAAATGGGTGAATTGCATGGTATGTAAATTATATTTCAATAAAGCTGTAGAAGGAGAATAGATTATTTTATCTTCAATTTATAAAAGATTTTCAATAATGTATTGTTCAATAAATAATAAGTCTCAAAATGGAATGGATTTTTAATAAACTCTTAAGCCAGACTGCTTAAGAGTCACCCCCCACAAAAAAACATATCCTCGTGAGGTGCAACTAGAGCTATATTTAGAGCTATAATTTTTAACCTTAAATGCAAATATTAGAAAAAAAGAAGAAAAATGCCCAGCGTGATAGCTCACTCCTGTAATCCTAGCACTTTGGGAGGCTGAGGCAGGAGGATCACTTGAGGCCAGGAGTTCAAGACCAACCTGAACAACATAGCGAGACCCCATCTCTATAATAAAATAGAAAAATTAGCCAGGTGTGGTGCTGCACAGCTGTTAGTCCCAGCTACCTGGGAGGCTGAGGGAAGAGGGCCGCTTGAGCCCAGGAGTTTGAGGCTGCTGTGAGTTATGATGATGCCACTGCACCACTCTAGCCTAGGCGACGGAGTGAGACTCTGTCTCAAAAAGAAAAAAAAAAAAAAAAAAAGGCAAAGGACTTGAATGGGCACTTCACAAGAGAATATCCAAATGGCCAATAAATAGGGAAATATATTTTAAAACCACAATGAGAAACCATTACACACAAACAAGATTGACAAAATTTTTAAAAGGCTGACAATACCTAGGGTGTAGAACAATGAAAACTTTCATACTCTGCTAGTAGTAGTATAAACTCACACAATGATTTTTGAAAACTGTTTGGCATTAGGTGAATGGTGGATACCATTTTAATGAGATAAAGAAGATTGGAGGGAAAATTGGTTTGGGGGGGAAAATGGGTGAGGGGGACAAAAACCAACTCTGTTTTTATGCTGCAACCTTCATTGTTTTACACAAAGTAAGCAAACAGCAAAAGAGACACACACTGCCGGTCCTAGGCCTTGCTAGAAATGCCCTTTAGTTCCTAGCCCTTTAACCAGCACTTTTTTTTTTTTTTGAGACAGAGTCTCACTCTTTTGCCCGGGCTAGAGTGAGTGCCGTGGCATCAGCCTAGCTCACAGCAACCTCAAACTCCTGGGCTCAAGCGATCCTCCTGCCTCAGCCTCCCGAGTAGCTGGGACTACAGGCATGCGCCACCATGCCCGGCTAGTTTTTTTCTATATATATATATATATATTTTTAGTTGTCCGATTAATTTCTTTCTATTTTTAGTAGAGACGGGGTCTCGCTCTTGCTCAGGCTGGTCTCGAACTCCTGAACTCAAACAATCCGCCTGCCTCGGCCTCCCAGAATGCTAGGATTACAGGCGTGAGCCACCGCGCCCAGCCTTAACCAGTACTTAATGCTGGTTGAAAAGGCTGGTTACATCTAGATACATACCCTGGAAACGCTTGTCCATATACATGGGGAGATATGTACTAGAGTGTTCCTTGCAGCATCATTTATGTAGCAAAAAACTGGGAAGCAACCTAAAATTCCATCGACGAGAGAAAGGACTGAAAAATTACAGTACATTCAAATAAATTTTGGTATATTCGTACTATGGAATACTATTCAGCAGTTAAAACTAACAAACTAAACAAACTAGAACTACATATATTAATAGACATCATGCTGAAAAACATGCTGAATTTAAAAAGCAGGCTGCAGAATGATAATTCAGTGTGATGCCATCGATATAAAGTTTAAAAAATGTAAAACACTGCTATAAACTGTTTGTAAGTCACACATATGTAGTGTGCAAATTTATTTAACAGTAAGGAGGAGGAGATAAGTGGAATCATGTAAAGCTT